ATATACATAGAACAGGATCACTAAGGCATGAAGAGCATCCCAGTTAAAACAAGCAGACACATGTATCAGACAGCAGCAATATAGGAAAACACTGGAAGAGAATAATCACTTTAGTAACAAGAGTAAAGGCATCATTTCATATTGTATGAGAGAAGACAATGGTAAACCACTCCTGTATTTTACTAGAAAACTACTTGGGTAGTTTGGGTGATAGTTATGGTGACAGACAATATAGAGCCTGGTGCAGGGCCTCTCAGGTCAGATGGCACTCAACATGCTATCGAGAAAGAGCTAAGGATTTTTCATAGGGTTCGTGTCAGATTGATTAAATTCTTCAGGACATCTAGTCATTAATGGTGCCAAATAGAAAAAGAAAATGCAAAGATGCAATAACAGAATTATAGTGGGAAATGCAACATATGAAGCATGAGCATGTTCAACACAGTGAAATATTAAGTGAAACAACTACATGCTGACATTTTAAGTTAACTGAAATGGACTGTTGTGGGGAACATTCAGTAAGATCACACAGTTTGCTACTGCAGTACTCTGAACATGAAAAATAAAAAAGGAACACTGCTTTCCTAGTCAGGAAGGATAAAGAAAAAATAATACCTGGGTACAATGCAATCAGTAACTGCATAATATGAATTAGAGTTCACAGTCTAGCCTTTAAAATTATCATTTTTGAAATTAATGCTCTAATGAGAAGAGGTTTCACCAAGTATGATGGTCAAGTTCAATCAGAAACTGATAAAGTAAGCAAGTGATTGGAGATTGGAATGAAAAAGTTGAAAACTGTAAGCAGGAAAATATACAGGTAATCCTTAGGACCACAATTGGCACTGGAAAATTTGTCATTAAGTGGCATGGTCATTAAGTGACTGACTAAATGGCATTATATAACCGCACCTAATTTTACAATTTTTTTGCCATTGTCAGGAAGTGAATAATTCAGTCTTTAAATGAGATATCACATGATCATGATTTACAATTTTGCCTGCCAGCTTCCCCATTAATTCTGCTTGTTGGAAGCCAGCTGGGAAAATCACATATTATGATCATGTGACCACAGGACACTGAAACCCTCCTAAATGCAAACCTCTGAACTGCAATCATGGAAAGATAACAGCGTTCTGTGTACCTCGGCATATAGTCATGCTGGCCACCTGGCCACATAAGTGTATTCAGACAATGCTGGCTCCCTCGGCTAATTAACAGAGATGAGCAACACCCCCTTGAGTTGAACACAACTGGACAAAGGAAACCTTCACTTTTCTTTGACCACAGGGGGTGATCGTTTGTAACATTGCAGCTAGATTGTAAATTCCTTTTTTAGAGCAGTCAAAACTTTAAGCTGACATTAAAAGAATGATTGAAAATTAAGGTTACCTGTAACTACAGTGTATCACAATGTGGTGGGATGTAGTCTGGATTCTCAGGCATGCAGGACTGCATTCCAGAAGACCAAGAGGAGAAAGAGGGTTAAGATGCATCCTCCTTAGAAATTGCCAGAGTAAATCTTTAATGATGCTAGTAGTTGCTTTAGTTTGGCAAGATTTCTATCTATAGGTGAAGAACAGTAAACAGCTTAGAAGTAATTCTACCTGTCTTTCTTGGTTCTGAGAGGTAGAGAGGCTTAAGAAACAGAAATGAAGCAGGAGAATGGCTTATCAGTTTCTCCCAATACAATTATTTCTTCATTAAAACTCCTATTTGTCTGTTTATCAATTCATCACAGACATCAATTGATTATAGAGCAATCAAATTGACTATTTTATTGGTACAAAAAGATGGAAGTGCTTAAAGATAACACCAAAGACATAGCCAGGGGATGACCGTGGAACAGATCATAAACTGTCCATATGCAAATTCCAAGTCAAGCCATAGCAGAACAAACGCTAACTAGTTTCACGATTTAATCGTGAGCATACTCCCACCATGTTCAAGAACATCAGGAATCATGTTGAAGTCTTGAACCTCAATGATAGGAAAAGTGGAATGAAATCAAAGTAGTTGCTAAGGATGAATGCAAAAAGAAACTGCCAAAGATCAAGAGAAAAGAGAAAGCAAATTTGATGCCAGAACAAATGGTGAAAACTGCCAAGAAGAGAAAAGCTAAAACCAAGAAAAACAATCAGGAAGATACTGAAAAATTCAGAAAGCTCTTAGAAAAGACAAGAAAAACAGTATGCCATCTATAAAGAGATAAAAGATGGAAACAAACATGGAAAAACAAGAACAATCTTCCAAACAATCTCTGAGCACCAAAGGTTCCAATCTCATATTTGTACACCAATGGACAAACCGGAAGAGTAAACAGAGATGGAGGGAGTATATTGAAATTCTGCATAGTAGGGATGTCAACAACTAAGGTACCTTAGAAAATATTTCTAACTTACAGGAATGTCTAGTACCAGAAGATGAAGTTATATCAGAACTCTAGTCTTTACCAAGTTAGAAGGCTGTAAGAATTGACAGAATATCCAGAGAAATATGGCAAGCAATAGAAGAGAAATCAATAAAGGTTCCAACCAAACCATAAACTAGAGAACACAGTGGTCAAAAGATTGAAAGAGGTCAGTCTACATTCTAATATAAAAAAGGGAAACTTAACAAAATGTACAAACTATTGTACAATATCCTTAATTTCACCTATTAGCAAAATACTCTTACAATCATCCAAGGAAGATAAGAGCACTGTATGGCAAGTGAGATGCTGGATGTTGAAACTGTCTTTAGAAAATGCTGAGGAACAAGAGACATTATTCCTAATGCATACAGCAAAATTAAGACAGCCAAAGAAAAAGGCAGTGCTTCATTGATCAAAGGCCTTTGTGTCAATCATGTCAAACTATGGAGTCTCTCCCTTCACAGTGGCACCTCTGTCATAGATATTTGTTGGGGTGGTAGTAGATTTTCCCAAATTGGTAGCACTAAAGAACTTCAATCTAGTGAAAGGCCTGGAGCAACCCAGTAGTTTATGACAATCATTGACCTTAGGTACCCAGCATTAAGAGATCTCACACTAGGACAGTTTTTCATCTCAAGGCAGACATAATGTGATCTCAAAGTAGAAGCCTGGTCATGGGCAGATCACTCTTCGATCATTTAGGAGTTTTGCTGTGCAACCTCCCTTCACAGGGGTGATCTATCAGATCAGTCAACCCCTGGTGCCTAATGAATCCAATAAGGTTTTTCAGAAAGCGCCTGGGCAGTTTTCCAAAAATCTGATGGGCAATTAAGACTGATCATCCACTAGAACAGGGGTGTCAAAAAGCTGGTCCACAGGCTGGATGCGTCATGCCAAAACCGCACCCATTCCATTGCCGGCAATAGAAAAAAAGTAGCGATACATCGCGACACATTGCGAGTTTGACACCCCTGCACTAGAATAAAGGAGAAGCTAAGGAGCTTGACCAAATTACACTAGAGTGACCTCTCTCTTCTCACAGATCCTATACTACTCCTTGGTTTACCAAAGAGCTCATGGAGGAAGACTCATTTTGAGTCCAACCACTAGTAAATGCTCACATTTGCATCTACAGTGAAAATCCAACCAGCAAAACGGAGATATTTTGCCACTTCATTGCAGAAAAATTTTCATAAAAAGGCCTACTGTGAAGAATTTTCATGACCTCCAGCTACGGTAACAAAACCACTTAGATTCAAGAGGAGTAGAACTTCAGCTGCACAGCATCAACAGAGGTAACTGGCTCTTTTCACAGGTCACTCACACACTGTATAAATAAACTTATGCAACTAGAAGAAAGATAGGCTTTCTGGAAATTTTTTTATAAACTTAGGAGGCTACCCTTTTAAATTTATCACAAAGAAATGCAAAATCTCTTCCATATAATAATAATTAAACCGAATGAGTTCACCCAATATCAAAATCATTATGGCTCAGTACATGGGTGCAATATACTATCCAATATAGTACATGAGACTACATAATAAATTATATAGTTTATAATTCAGTGTACTATGAACACACAACCGTAGTTTGATTCATGACTAGTGCAATGTATGAATACATGGCTAAGTTAAGAATACTGATTATGTCTTGGGCTGAGGAGACCAGAAGGCGGCCCACTTGGGGCTGATCACACTCAAATTGACCTTCCTCAGAGGTTGTTATGGATACACGAACGGCGATCCCCACAACGGGCATTCTAAATTCCCAGAAGGAAGAGGGGATAGAAATGCAATAATTAACTAAATACGAATTAGGATACTGCCCTAATTGGATTCACAGCACAGCATATACTCAGTATCGCATAAAGTTACAGGTTAAATTCGTGTAGCAAAGTAAGCAAGAGGGAGGCCGCCTCCTTTGCGACTCAGCGGGCTGCAGTACCCGGATCCTCACTTCCCGAGTTTGAAAACCCGCTGCCTGGCTCAAGAACCTCAAAGGGGGAAGCTAGCGCAACGCCGCATCACCACGACGGCTCCTCTTCCCTCTCGGCTGCCTGGGCAGCCTGAAGGGAAAGAGGTGAAGAGGGTTCCCTCGGCGGGCTCACCTACTCGGCCGCCGGCGTGGGATATTCCGTAAAATGGCGGAGGCGTCTGTAAATAAGGCCGCGCCAAACAGTCGTCGCCAATCCGGCCTGCCCCTCGCCGAGCAGGACGAAGCAGCCAACACGCCTCCCAGGAGAGGCGGCCTCTTCTCCTTCCTGCCCTTGCGAAAGAAAGAGCCGGAGCCCAGCAAATCAATGGAATCGGTCACCGCCCCGCTCCCTTCCTTGCCCGCTCTTCTCACCCGAGATCTTCGCCGGGCCACCCAGGGCTACCGTGGCCGAGCGAGGCTCCCTTTCTAGGAAAGGAGGGGCAACCGCTCAGCGCTTGGGGCTCGGAGCGACTCTCCCAAAGAACATCAGAAGCTTTGCCGAGGAGGAGCAGCCCGTTGACACCCAGCCTTTCTTTTCCTGGCTCAGAAAGGGATGCCGGGAGCTGTAGTTTGAGCTCGGTCTACTACGGCAAAAAGCAGCACTGCCTCTGACTCCCCAGTTCTGCCGGCGAGACAGTCAGTGGAGGGACACGTGGTTAAGTGGAAGCGGAGCCCGCTCGGAGGTTGGGGCTCTTTTGAGCGCGGGCCCGGCGCTCTGCTGTGTTCTCTGCCTGCTCAACAAAGGCTGGAGAGGACATGCAAAGCCCTAGCAGCCCCCAGGGCCGCTGTTGCCTGTCCCCTCCCTCTTCCCCGGTCAGCGAAGCAAAGAGTGACGGGGCTAGAAACATGTGGGTGTTCGGATATGGCTCTCTCATCTGGAAGGTGGATTTTCCTTACGAGGACAAGATGGTAGGATACATCACGGGCTACAGCAGGAGGTTCTGGCAAGGCAGCACGGATCACCGTGGAGTGCCGGGCAAGGTGAGCTGCGGTAGGCAGACAGAGCTGAGAAGCGGGGCTATCTTGTAACCTGCTCGGTGCCAGTAGAGCACTGAGAGATGCCAGGACTCTCTTTTAGTTAGTGGGGAAATTTGGTTATCTCCCAGGTGGGAGCTGGGTTGGAATCGAACTGGGCCAGAGAAGGAAAAGGTTTGGGGAGGTGAACCTGTGTGACTGACAAGAGCTGACCCGCCAGCCATCCTGTTGCAGAGGAGCTTGGCAACTGCCTGCGTGCCCACTGGTCGGATTGATGTTTGTGTGCATAACCGCCGAGGCACATCTCCCACGTTTGGAGCAAAATAAGCCGAGTGCCAGTTTACTACGGGTGGAGCGATTCCAGAACCCAGGTGCACTTTTCACACGCACAGCCCAGCGCTATTATTGTTAGAATAATAGAAAGAAGGTGTCTTTGTCTCCCACTCTCTATGCTTTTTTTACTTGTCTATTTTATCTATACACAGACAAACCTCGAATACTAATATAGTTAGCAATGCAACTTGGGTACAATTGTTTTGTTTTTTCCTGTTTGGAAAAAACTGTCCCGTTGGGGGACAGTGTATCTTTCAGGCAACAAGGAAGAAGACAAAGTTCCCAAGCTAGTTTTTCTTTTATTTCGTTGCACTTCAGTGTTTGAGTCATCTTCTATAAATTTATTTATATTGGCTCAGATTCCTTCAGAGCACACTATGAAGGAAACTTCAATGGCAAGATTTGATTTTCTGCTAAAAATAAAATTACTGACCTTTAAACCTATCATGTTTAAATCCAAACCCATGGCTAATACTGGCTGTATTCCAACATGTTATACCAAAACAAAGAAATCACATTATGGCTTAAAATGATGGGCTGATTCACACAACATACTAAGACATAACAGGATTTGTTTAGTTTTGGCTTAGCATGTATAGTTTAATCATAGTTGTTATTTAGCATATTGTTCAATATGAACAGGTGTGATCATTTCCTGAGCAACGCATATTGTTAAAGGTCAAGAAAAGTATTGTCCCCCTTTAAAACTGTCTTAAGGCATTTGCCATCAGCAATGGCAAATGCCTTTTAATGGCTGCGTCCATTTTATTCTTGAATATAATTTGGGGGAAAATCAGACTATTTCGTAAAAGAAATAAACTTATGTCACATATTACAAATAACTTTACAGATTCACAGCTCAATGCTCCATGTTTTCTTTGAATAGGTTACATTAAACCAAATGAGATTTCCTACTAAATAAAAGAATATAAGATGAAAGAAGTTGTTTCAAATATTTAAAAAGATCAATTTCTATTTACTACATGTGGATTTTGATTGCAAAACAAGAACATAACATAAGAGCTGTGCATCCAATATTTTAAAACCTCCTGAAATCTTGGATTTCTAGCGTACTGTGCTGTGTAAATCATTCCTGTATGTAGAGGGATTCTGTATATTTCAGGAAACAATTTACAATCTTCTGAAATGATACTATCGCAGAACTGGCAGAGCACAATTCTTCTAAAATTAGCAGACAAGCAGTGTTCCAAAATGTCCAGGGTAGCATGTGGACATGCACTTTCAGTGAATGTCCTTTTGTCTGAATAAGTATTACTTTTTTCCAAATTTCAGTTGAGAGATCTTAAACTACTTAAGTTTTGGACATCAGATATTGGTTGCTATGAAGCCGATGCTGTTCAGTTTTTTTTTACTGCATTAATCTATAGAGCTTACTAATCAACTGATAAATTTAGACTGTGTTTCATTTAAAATGAATATGTGACCAATATTAAAACTAATGAAAAATTAGTTGGAATTGGGTAGCCAATTAATTTAAATAATGTTATTGCATGATCAATTGACAAGATAATAATTTTGTCTCTACAACATTTATACTGCTTCAGTCCCCATTTCTCTTTCTATATAAATGTATCAATAATATGATGAGCCTAAGTTTCTTTACTATGAACATCCTAGTTTGCAACCATTGCATCCTTATCTAGAAATAAGTTTCAATCAATTCAGTGGTACATTAGAAAGATCACAATTTCTGCACCCATTCTGATTTATGATTGCTATTTGAAACGATGTTAACTTCTGATCATATGAAAGAATTGTAAGAAAATGCTATAGTTGTTAATTTTCCATTTCTTTACTTCTTTACCCTTATACCAGATTTAATAAAAGAATTCCGATTAAATGAACATCCTTTAATATCTTTTTTGGACAGAATAAAATGAGGAAAAGTGTAAGAAGCAGTTTGGTTTAGTAGATAAGGCTCCAGGCTAGAAATCAGGAGACTGTGAGTTCTAGTTCCACCTTAAAACATGAAAACTGATTAGATGTCCTTGGGCCAGGACCCTGCACTATTAAGAGGATGCTGGGAAGGAAAAAAAGAGAAGAGAAAGTATGTGAATCTTTTGGAGCTATCCATAATCCTGTAACACTTGACTTACAGTGTCCTCAGAGCTCATGTAAGCCTATTAATAAAACACAAACATTGACTGTCTTCATCAGAATGCTGCTCACAATCCAAGTTTATGTAAACATGCTCAATTTTGTAGCCCTAAGAAAAAGTGTTGTTGGTATTCATGAGACTAGAATGGCTTCCATCAATTCACAGTCAGGCAGATAGTGTACAAATGGAGAAAATGCAACAAGAGTGTTACTCCCAGGTCTGGTTATCCAACACAAAATTTCCCAAGAGCAAAGCTTACAATTTTCTGGGAGGTCACAAAGAGTCCAGAGAACAGCAAAGCATCTACAGGCCGTTCTTGCACTGAACAATGTACTGATGTCAGTGTTCATGACTCTACCATAAGAAAGACACCAAAGAAGAATGATTTGAATGAAAGGTTATCAAGGAGGAAATCACTGGTTTCCAAAAAACACAATGCCACAAGTTTCAAATTTGCCAAAGATGATCCAGCAGGCTACTAGAACATGGTTCAGTGGACAGAGAGATAAAAATAGAACTTTGGATATTAATAAGAAATTTTATTTTTGAAGAAAATGAAATATGGAATTCCAGTAAAAGTAACTATCATAAGCATAGTGATAAGATTTTTCATGGATTGGGGTATTTTGCAGCCTTATGACCCTGGGCAATTCATAATTAGGAAGGAACGATAGATTCTGGAAATAGAAAATTGCTGGGTATTTACAACAGTTAGCCTAATTGAAAATATGTGTCACCTAAAACAAGGGGTACATCTAAGGCAACGTCAAACTATCAATGAAATGAAGCTGTTATGTAAAGGGAAAAGGGCCAAACTACTTGCAAATCAAGGTGCAGGATTGGTTAAAAAGCACAGAAAATATTTTGTTGAATCAAATCTAATAGATCTTAGAGAAGTTTAAATTGCAGCTCATAGTACAGCAGGATTATGGATAGTTCTGAAATGTTTACAAACTTACTGTTGTAGTATAACCAAGACTAGGATGTGTTGTCCAGTATGCATTCTTTCACTCTGTTTTTTTATTGGTTTTATTTGCTATTTTATTCCTTCAATTTTTAATAGAGATAGCATTTCATAGTGGCTGCATCTGAACATTACGTTGAAATAGAACCCTTAAGACAAAATTGATCCAGAATGCAGTGGCATGTGAAGTTTTGGGCATCCCATAGTTTGCCCATGGTACACTGATGCTATGCAAGCTACATTATCTTCAATTTTCTTTTTGGCTGCAATTCAAGATTCTTGTCTCCTTTAAAGCCCTGAATGGCATGGGGCCAGATTATTTGTGGGACCACTTGGGGTTATTTGCGTTCTCCACCAGATCAGAGTGGCTTGCTCCAAGTTCCTTCCCTTAAATGTTGCCACCTAGCAGGATCTAGGTAATCTGCCTTCTTGTTAGTAGCCCTGCCCTTTGGAACAACCTTCTCTCAGAGATCCAGCATATTCCTACCTGCCTGGTTTTCTGAAAAGCCTTGAAGATTTGGTTTTTCCAATAAGTTGGGATAGCATCTGGCTGGAACCTAATAAAGTTGTTGGTAGATATAAGTAATGTATTATTTTAGTGCCACTGCAAGATTTTATGCTGGTTTTGAGGTGCTTTTTGTGTGTGTGTATGTGTATTTGTAAACTGCCCACCATTATGGTGAATAAAATAAGAGATTGTATAAATGTTTAAAATAAATAGGAATGTATAGCATATGAGTAATATGTGGTACAGGTACTTTCCACAAACCACCAGGGGTAAATAATTCTGAAGGGCCTGCATGTGATTTGCATGGAATTGTGTGCAAACCAGTAATTTTCACCCCTATCTGTCCTATAACAATCCAGAAACATGGAAGTATCTCAATCAAACTACTGTGTTATATCAACAGAAGGATGTTACTATTCAATTTTATATGCTACCCATAGGAATTAGATTGTTCAATAGCCTTTTAGTTTGAACCAAAGAAAGCAAGCAGCATGGACTAACAACCTGCTTCTTGTGGTTAAACAGAATTTTAAATAGCTGATTTCAAGCACCGACAGGATGCACTGGATTTCACTCTTCTAAATTGGTATCATAAGAAAATTGGCTGTGTTGATCTAGATCGTTTGTTAATATTTGGGGGATTTTTAAATATATTTGGTCAAATTTTTAAATGTTTTTATGCAAGTACTTAATCATTTCTGTTTAAGCATAAAAAAGATTTTGGGGGAACCACAATCACTAATTTTCTCAGAATGAAGGATTTTGGTTATTAGTGCAGGTGCCTGTTTAATTATAACAATATGCTGTTCATTGCCTACTAAAGCCCACTGATGTATACTTCTCCAACTTTCAGGGATTTCTCAGAAAGCCGTATTTTGAATTTGTAGCCTAAATAAAGGACTGAGAATAAGCTATGGTCTAGCTATTATTCGGAAATGCTTTTCAGAAAGCATTGTCTGCCATAGATTAATAACAATACCTATGAATTAAGATTAAAACAAGTAAAGCCTTTCTTATTTTCTATTTCATAAAAAATAAAAATATTTGGACAAAAATATTAAATTTTACAGTACTTTGGAACCCAGCGTGCCTCTCGCTATACAAGGATAATAGAGCTTATAAAATTCTAAATAGTATTTGTGGAGCAGAGGAAACAATGGAGTTCAGAAACATCCAGCAATCTAGGAGAATGGCATTGACAAGGCAAGGCTATGTTATTTACTGCTGTATATGCAGCAGATTTGTCAGTCATCAGAAATACTGACTGACTTCAACATAAATGAGCCAATACTTAAAAATAATTGGCATTCTTCTGGGAATAGACAATATGCAACATTAATATTCATTAGAGCTTACACCTTTCAAATAATGTTTGCTTTTTATGCAAATTCACATCTCGTGTCTGAAATCCTTACAATAAATTTTAAAAATTTATTTAAAAGTAAATGCTTCTTATAATATTTCAGCATAAGATTAGAACATCCACAGTAAATCTACAAAACGTCTTTTCAGGAATATATTTTTGCATTTTTCTTTTCATCTGTACGCCAAAGAAAGCTATAAAGATTAAGGTTTTTCTGAAAAAAATAGTACTAAGGTAGATAATGGAATATATTACAGAAATCAGAAAATCCTAAACATCTTCATGATAGGATAAAATAGTACCTACGTACTTCTGAACATTTAATGAAAAAGTGACTTAATTTAGTTATCAGTTAACGTCTACATTGTAAATGATTCTGTCTTTTTAAGAGTTCAGAGAAATAATAATTACAAATCAACTTGATAGATTCCAATATTGTTGAGATAAACTCAGACTGAGAGGTAGCACCTTAGTTTAGGCCTTTTAATAAGTTTTTAACTAAGACAGTGGTTCTCAACCTGTGGGTCGGGACCCACTTTGGGGTCGATCGACCATTTCACGGGGGTCGCCAAGCAAGGCTGTCCGCCATTTTTTTGTCTGCCATTTTTTTTGTCCGCCATTTTTTCCCCTTTTCCGGCAGGTGCCTTACCTCCCTTGAGCTGGGCCAGCTGGTGGTCGGCCTGCTCCGTCTCTGCCGCTTGCCAGCTACGCCTCGGCCAGCGCGGGGGGCGGAACCACGCATGCGTGATGCTCCCAGGCAGGGAAAGTCCTCGACTTATGACTGGTTGGGTAGTCCTCGACTTACGACCGGTTTAGTCCTTGACTTATGACCAGTTTAGTCCTCGACTTACGACCGGTTTAGTCCTCGACTTACGACCGGTTGGGGTCGCGGCATTAAAAAGGTTGAGAACCACTGAACTAAGATAACACAATGCCAATTTTCCCATAGCTGTTTTTAAGGGAACTATAGGAAAACCCCATATGAAACCAGACATTGCCCCTGTGACTTGGGTGCTATAGAAACCACAGCCCATGTTCTTTTGTATTGTCAGTTCTACACAAAAATTCATGACCAATTGATTACCCATTTGTATGTAAATTTCCAAGGCACTCCATAAGATTTTTATTTATATTATATTATTATATATTATATTATTATATTAAATAATTAAATTTATTTCTTTAAACATAGCAAATTTTTCCTACAGTATGTTTGAACTTTGTCTACAAATGGTTGCCAACAGTTATTGATATTAAGGGATAATTTTGCTTTGTTTTATAGAATGTTTTTTTTTAGTCAATGACCAATATAAAGTTTCTGTCTCTCAGTACCAATTTCCTAGCTATTAGATACCAGATTGCCTCAGCTTAACAGAGTTAGACAACTGGGCACAAAGATCCTGTCTGTGGTGGAGAGGACACTTCATTCTTATACCTGTACAAATGTGGTCATTCTTTTGAGTGTACACATAAATACATTTCTAAGGCCAAATCTCATTTTTCAGATTTATTAAACAAATTTACATGGCCACCAAACTGACATCTAGGTGACTCCAAGAGGCTCTCAACATTAAAAACCACAAACAAAAAAACACAACATAAGCCCCTCCCCCCATGGCATTAGCAACACAATCAAATTAACCATTGATTGGCTCCTGTAGATGATGATCAGCTGAGATTGAAGGTGGGGTCAAACACATAATTTTGGAATGTTTATACCCCCATAAGAGACCTTGAAGTCTGTTAACTCTTATGTGACCTTGACCGTTAATAGATCAGATTTTTGTGTATAGGTAGTATGAACTAAACTTGTAGCACTTTTGAACTCTATCCTGGTTCCCAATTTCTTGTACCTGTCAGCTTCATCTTCATTTGGGGTTCCCAGGCCTGTTGCCTTTTGGAAAAGCAACAAGATAGAGGGCCAACCATACCTCAGCAGGAATGACATTCCTTAGAGAGGTGGCCACCATTGAGAAGACTCTTTTTCATGGTCCCAGAGATGTACATCCCTAACTGATGGGACCCATAACATATCCTGTCTTCTGCCTGGTAGGCTAGGTGGATGTAATAGGGGAGAGGCGGTCCTTCAAAAAGACCAAGCCTTGTAGGGCTTTAAAGTTGATAACCAGCACCTTGAATTGTATCTGGAAGCATATTGGCAGCCAGTGCGACTCTCACAAGAGAGATGACACATGCAGAACTTAGGCTTGCATAAAACTGTTCAGGCCATGCATTCTGAACCAGCTGAAGCTCCTGGATACTGTACTATGTAAAGCGCATTACATCAATCCAGATGGGTGATAACCAAGGCATGGGTGACTATAAGAAGGGCATGTTGGTCATAGTTGTGCAAAGACTGCCACTGGCTCCTTAAGCAAAAGTCACAAGTCCAGAAGAAACCCCAGTTTAAGCACTGGATCAGTATGGGGCAGTACAACCACATCCACAACCAAAGATGGCAATTCTTCAAGAGCCAGAGTCCCTAACCCAGAGCCACTCTGTCTTGCCAGGGTTTAGATTTAGCCTGTTGCTCCCCATCCAGACCTCAACAGCCTCCATGCAATTCTTATCACCCATATGACTTTACTGATTAAAGTATATAACAGGAGGCAAACCTAGTAGTTATGGACTAGGGGCAAATTTAAAATTTTGAAAACATAGGGGTGGTGGATTCAGAACATAGTTACCATAGTACTGTATGCATAGCCAATCTCACAATACTCATTTATCAGAAGCCCAGCTTCATTTCCCAGTAAGGTATATGTGCAACTGAAAGACTACTTGATTCTAGAGGCTTGTGCTTTGTAGCATGCCAGCTTCCTGCTTTTACCATCATCATCATCATCTTCTTCATCTCTTTTTTTAAAAAAACTCATAGTCTAGCGAGTGAGTTGTCTGGGGACAATTTGTGAATAAAAAACTTTAGTTAGTTATGTCCAGGTTGTATTATTTTTATAAATAACTTAAGGAAGCGAATATACCTAATACTCCTTCATCCACCTATTTTCCCTACAATAACCCTGTGAGGTGGGTTTTGGGCTGAGAGAGGGTGGCTGGCCCAAAATCACTCAGCTACCTTTCATGCCTAAAATGGGACTAGAAGTCAGAGGGCTCCTGGTTTTTAGTGGATACCTTAACCACTAGGACAACTGGCTCATTATCATACAACATCTATATTATAGAAGCTACAATGGTTGCCAGTTTATTTCTGGATGCAATTGATGGTTCTGTAATAGTTATTACCGTAATAATTAATTATTACAGTTACAATAAGAGTTAATGATAAAGAGACCTTGGTATCTATGAAATTGTTTCTGTTTGGGAGCTGCAAGTAAAATCTGTCTCTGCAAGGCAAATAGATGTAACACATTTAGAATATCCACACATCCCAAAATCTATAGAAGGAACTCCAAAGCAAGCATTCTCTCCTGGAGCTCCCCTTCTACAGAAGCAGCTGTCATCTAAAATAAGATGAGCATCTTTTTATTTTAAAATCTGTGAAAATATTTAATAGGCATTCAAGGGTTGAGGAACCAATGATAAATGTGCTTGGGATGCATACAGCCACTACTTATTGTTATTACTACTGAGTTGAATTATTTTGTTTGATTAAACCAGCCTAAAAGCACATGAAACACTTGTACATAAATAAAATGATTAAAAATGGATTAATGTTACAGTCTGCATTCTTAACAAATATAAGCTCCTCAGCCAACAAATAATGCCATCAATATGACAGAAGACAAATATTTTAAAATTATATTTCATTTATTTAATGATTCTGTGATTTGGCTTTTTGTTTTATCGGCTCTGATAAAAGTTTTTACTGAATTTTTGTATGTTTTGTTTTTAAATTTTAGCCTGGAAGAGTTGTGACACTTATTGAAGATCCTGAGGTACAGTAGTTGCATTTTTACGTAGTCTATAAATATGTTTTGTCCTGAGTAGTAGTATGAAGCTGCCTTCTTAACTCTGATACAGAGAGAAAACTAGAATTTTAAACTGCAATCTTACAGACATCAATTGGGATATAAATTCATAGACACAATGTAAATATACAAATTAAATATGCATAGAATTTCATTTGTTACCATTTTTCTCCAAAGATACGAAGAAGGAAGTTCAAAATGATGGTTCAGAAACCATCTTTGAGCCTAATATATATATATCAAATTGACATTTTTCATGGACAAAAACCCTATTCCCATAGAAAAGCAGCCAAAATAGTATACCACTGTTTATAAACCATTCAGTTGAAGAAACTAGTTTCATTTTCCTGAAAAAGTCTCTTAAGATGCATAATAGTGGTCTCAAATAAATTGATTCCTGTTCATCCTGATCTCTTTTTTTCTTTCCTGCCCTTCTCTATTCAGCTTTTATAGGTAGTCTTCAACTTATGACGATAATTAATCCTAGAGTTACTGTTGTAAGTTGTGCCAGTATTAATCAGTAATAACATGACTGCACCTGATTTTATGACCTTTTTTGCAGTGGTTCTTAAACATAGCAATTGTAAAGTTGCCACTACAGTCGTTAAGCAAATCCATTGTCTTCAAGGGATGTTTTTTTGCAGGAAACCAAAAGCAAAGCTAGTTTCCAGTAAAAATCATCATAAATCGCAGTCATGTGACTGCAGGACACTGCAAACGGCTGTAAATGCAGGCTGGTTGCCAAGTGCCAAAAATGCAGTCATGTGACCATGGAGGAAGGTGGCCATTGAACTTTGAATCCAAGATACAAGTACCTTTTTTTTTATCCATTGTACACTTGAACAGTTGCAAATGGAGAACTATCTGTAAAGGTAATCCTCAGCTTACAACAGTTCATTTAGTGACCGTTCAAAGTTACAATGGCACTGAAAAAGAAAGACTTATGACCATTTTTCACCCTTATGAGCATTACAGCATCCCTATGGTCACATGATCAAAATTCAGATGCTTTGCAACTGACTCATATTTATGATGGTTGCAGAGTCCCAGGGTCATGAGATTGCTTTTTGCAACATTTTGACAAGCAGAAACAGTGGGGAACAACCATTTTACTAATTTAATAATTGCAGTGATTTACTTAACAACTGTGGCAAGAAAGGTTGTAAAATGGGGCAGAACTCATTTCTCACTTAGCAACATAAATTTTGGACTCAATTGTGATCCTAAGTCGAGGACTAGCTGTACTGAAGTGTGCATTAGGACTCCTGGAAAATAGCTGAGAATTAATTTATATATAAGAAAATAAATCTAACAATTTAATACTAACTGCCAAACAAGAATGAACTCTCTCTTCATCTTCACACCACCCCCCAATACCCTTAAAACTGTGTGGCAGTTACAAGAGTTACAAGGGAGTCAGGCTATTCTCCAAAGCACCTGAAGGCAGGACAAGAAGCAACGGATGGAAACTAACCAAAGAGAGAAGCAACCTAGAACTAAGGAGAAACTTCCTGACAGTTAGAACAATTAACCAATGGAACAACCTGCCTCCAGAAGCAGTGAATGCTCCAACACTGGAAGTTTTTAAGAAGAGACTGGACAGCCATTTGTCTGAAATGGTATAGGGTTTCCTGCCTGAGCAGGGGGGTTGGACTTGATGACCTCCAAAGTCCCTTCCAACTTTATTTATTTATTTATTGGTTGATTGATTGCAATTAGTGGTCCCATAACATAATAGTTATTTTTAATATTTAAACACAAGGATTCAGTACCTCATTTCAGCATCTCCTTATTCTCTATTCATGCTTGCCAAGGTACAGGTAGACCTTACTTAATGGCCCTAATTGAGACCACTTATTTTTCTCCATCTCTTCCCAAATACATCCTGATTTCTCCTTTTAGAAATCAAGAAATAATATTTGAAGCAAAGAAGATTTGGCTGTAACCTAAACTCATGAAATTAGAAGAAAGGCAATTGACTCTCTGGGAAAGTTTTTATAAGCTTAGGAGGCTATCATTTCTACACTTACAGTCCTCAACTTATGACTGGTCAGTGAGCTTTTGAAGTTATGAGGGACCTAGCAGGGAGCTATTTATCACCAAATTCGCTCAACAGTCGCTCCCCACCCTGCAGTCACAAGACTGAACTTTTGGCTCTTGACAACCAGGACACATTTATGGCTATTTGCAGGCGCAATGCAGTCATATGACCACATTTTATGATGGTTTTGCAAAAAGAAAATAGCATTTATTTCCAATTTTCAGCAAAACCAGTGATTCACTTCATTACTGCAGCATTAGCTTTATAACTACTGTGAAAGAACTGGAGAAAATTACAAAATACAAAAACCTGCAAATAGAGTAACTGGCAAAAGAAAACAAAGATAGTTCAAATTGGACGCTTGGGTGCAATCCCAAAACATCTGGAGCACTACTTGAATAACATTGGCATTGACAAAATCCCCATTAGTCAATTGCAAAAGGCAGCTTTATTTGGAATAGCCTACATCCCACCATGATATCTTTAACACTTTCAAATAACATCTCCCTCTCTGCTCGAGGAAGATGGGCAGTTAAGAAATATGAAATATAAACAATCACCTATCCCAGATTCTTGGGAAGGACTCAGTGGGTGGAGAACAGTACAAAATCCAATATAAACAATCTAGCTGACTGTGAAATGAATCATAATAATAATTCAAAGTTGAACATTTATGGAAATCCAAGTTGAATGCTTATGGAAAAAGAAGTCCATTATTAAACCAGTTGTGATTAAAGCCCTCAGAGCAATACCTAAAAGATTCCCTTAATGGCTGGAAATATTGAAATTATCAGATCTGAGCACCTTAATTTTACAAAAGCCCATCCTGCTTGGAACTGACTATATTCCTAGATGCTACCTTAATAATACTTGGTTAGGACTTGAATTATTAAGATTCTAGTGGTCTTAGACTGTGAATCTAACTGTAGATTACACACACAAATAATGAATTGAAAAGTGGATAAAAATGCAAAATCCAGTTTAAATATCTAACTGACTGTACAACCTACTATAATAATAATTCTATTTTCACCAAAATATTTAATGCTTTGAATGTTCATACAACATCAAAATCTACATAATGGTTTAGTACATGGATAAATCTAGTCACTGTAATAAATTATATAGTTAGGCAATGGAATACAGAGTAGCCAAAAAAATAGAAAGATAGGTGGGGGAACTGAAATGCACAATGTGGTCATAAATGCCGCCAAGCTGCCAAGCATCCAAATTTTAACCCAGGGATGTTGTAACAGCTGTAACTTTAAGGAAGTGCCATAATTACCATTCATTCAGTGCTAAGTTCTAAGTTCAAACAGTTCCTGAACAAATAGTTGTTAAGCAAGCACTACATGTAGTGAGATGCTGGTATAAAAGATAATTTATTTTTCAAATGAGCTTACTATTAGTTTCATAGAGTAGATATGAAAAAATCAAAAGAAAATATACAGTATATGGTCCCCATGATGTCTAGTTCCACTTCTGGATCATATGCCTCCATGATTGAAGAAAGCACTGATGAGACACATGGCAGCCTGCAAAATATGCTGTCAGATAATGCTCATAGACACATCCTGTACCAAACTTTTCCTCTCAGTGACATTTTCTTGCTGCTGTACATATGTTTAATATTTGTTTTGGACTCTACCATAGGGAGCAAGTAGTAATATCCAGTTGAATGGTAAAGCAGCTATTTATGGTTTTTGAATAGCAAAGAAATTATTGTTCTGCCCATATAAATACAACTTTATTTTAAATATATTAAAATGTCAATAAAATATAGCAAAAAATAAGATTTTCTACTCTCTGAAATGCTGGTTCTATAGAGCACAATCCATTATATTTCTACCCAAAAAAAAATTCAAACTCACAGTTCTGTACTCCTCAGTATACTTTTTGCACTGTAAATGTATCTTGTACTTGAACGATTTCCTTGATATTTTTTTTTACTTTACCTTGACATAATCTATGATTAGCATTGTATTTTAACACGTTGCTGAAAACTGCTAATTCTGATTACAGTGATTATATTTTAAACCTTTTTGGAAGGCAATGTTTTGTTTATAGTACAAAGAAAATAAATAACTACTCCCTTTCTATGACCTGCGGTTAAATACTCCAACACTGAGGCTTAAACCAGTTTTACACAGATAGGTACCACTAAACCTACTTATTTAAAGTAAATTTGCCTAGGATCAGAAATTAAAAATATGAACCATGAAAATCTCGCTTCAAATCAGCTGCAAATTCACACGTGAATTAAATTTTCAACTTTGTTGTTCTCACATCTGAAGAGCAAAGGTAAAAATTTACCTATTACTGAAAATACACGTGAAATGTTCTAAAAAATAAAAAATAAAATAAAATAACTCAGTTCATATTACTATTCTATATCATCTTTATTTCTTTTACATTAGAAGTGTTCACATCAAGGACCATCTTGACTTCTACATGGTGTGCTAGATGGGATCCTGTAAAATAAATTAAGTGAAGCCAAGATTAAGTAGTGGCTAAGACAAAGAAATCATTGTTCCATAGTTTAATTGTGATATAATGTAGATCAGGGGACCCCAACCCCCGGTCCGTGGACCAGTACCAGGCCACAACATGCCAGCAACTGGTCCGCACAAACAAGCAAAGCCCTATCCATGGGATGTAGGTGGCACACAAAAACATGCACTCTCAGGTCCACGAAAAAACCTCTCTCCACAGAACCGGTCCCTGATGCCCAAAAGGTTGGGGACCTCTGATGTAAATTATAATATAATATGTACAATTTATTTATGACGCACTCAACAGTTTCTATGATTCTATTATCACTGATGCTACTTAGAAAAGTTATGAACAGTTGAGGCTTCAGGGCTAAATGCAGTCGTCATATCCCTCCAAAATTTGCCTCCAATTGCAATTTTTAAGGTGTTAACCCAACACCTTAAAAATTGCAATTGGAGGCAGATTTTGAAGGGATATGATGATTGCATTTAGCCCTGAAGCCTCAACTGTGCATATCTTTTCTAAGTAGCATCAGTGATAATCCCTCAGTATTTATATTTCTTGAGAATAAATGCAAATGTCATGAAAACAAGGAGGTTTAAACACCACCAATTGTCCTGTAATGCTGCCGAATTTAGATCAGAGTAATGGCAGCTACAGATTTCAACCTTTTGTACTTGACAAGATCAGCAAAATGCAACACAGTGTCTGTCACTGTGAATTCTTCTGTACTTTTCTGGTAAGTTTTTTCATACTGTTGTGCAGTTAGATCCTATTATGTTAGCAGCTTCCTCTATAAGCAAAGAATAGTTTAGCTTGGTTTTTTTCTCTTTCCCCAGCATTTGTATTGCAAAACAAACTCCAATCATCGCAAACTAGTTATTTCAAATCAATACCCTCTAGTCATCCTGAGTTACTAATGTACAACTAATAGTGCAAAGTTAACATCTAGAAAATATCAATATTTTTAGCTTATCTCTATCAACATAGCTTGCTAAATTTACAGTACTTGTTAGATGAAGTACCTGCCCAGAGGTGTCAGAGAGTAGAAAAAGAGTTCTTAACCATAATAAAACCCTGGAAGAAAACGTGAGAAGGGAAGAGAGCCAGAGAAGAAGTGGAAACATGGGTTTGAGAATTTGCAATTCTATCATTAAATCCTGTTTTCTAGTCTTTCATTAATGTGCATGCATTACTGACAATAAACGTTTGGAAGAGTGACCTCTGTAACTCTTTGATAGAGTCTGATCTTTGTACGTTTTATCTTTATCTGATTGTATTCTTCTACAGGGCTGTGTATGGGGTGTTGCATACAAACTGCCAATAGGACAAGAAGTTGAAGTAAAAGCCTATCTTGATTTTCGAGAGAAGGGTGGATATAGGACTACAACTATTGTCTTCTATCCCAAAGATCCTGCAGTGGAACCTTTTAATGTGCTATTATATATTGGAACCTGTGAAAACCCTAACTACCTCGGACCCGCACCCCTAGAAGAAATTGCAAAACAGATTTTTAATGCAGTTGGTCCTAGTGGAAGAAATACAGAATACCTATTCGAACTTTGCAATTCCCTCAGGGATCTTGTACCAGAAGACGTGGATGAACATGTTTTTGCTTTAGAGAAACTGGTAAATAAACTATTGGAACAATAGCAAAACAAACCTGTATAACAGTCGCTTTGCAAAGAGTTTCTTCACTATCAGAATAAGTTTATTCTGTTTATATTGTTTATATAATTTGGAAATTATCCATCAAAATTTTTAAAAATTAATTTCCATATTTCATTGAGGCATCACTGTCCTTGAGCATTAGAGATTTTTAAAATGATATTTTAAAAAGTTTAAGAAGGAACTTTGAATTTCCATAAAGTTTTAAGAATGCTTTTCTGTTCATTTCTCAAATTTGAATAACGTAGGCCTGATTTAAGTTGAAGGGAAGCTTTCTTAACCTTAAGTTACAGTATTAGATTTTGTTTTCCTCTTAAAAAAAGTTTTGAACTAGATTCTTCACTTAAGTATGGATGCAGTCCTATGCACAAAAGGAAGTCACTTTCAACAAAGAAAGAAATGCATAGGATTGAGTGATGTGTATTGATATGTCAGTATATTCCTTTAAAAATGTTCCCAATAGGATTTGTGGATTACAGCACTGAGAGAGAAATCCTTTGTGCACTTGTTTAGGATTAAGTTCAACATGGTACAAAGTAAATATGTGTAGGATTACATTCTAAATGGCAATTATATCCATGAAGGGCCTGGATTATATGTACACCTGTTTGAAATGTATTGCTTATTATATATTATTTATCATTTAGTTTAACTTGCCCAAATTCAGTAATTTATATATAACAATTTGCTTAGTGATAAGAAGATCAATAGTTATAAATGAAAGGAAACTACACTTTGCATTCATGGTTTCAATATCTTCAGAGATGACGTACACTGGTACAAGGCTTTCTCTCATTTTTTGGAAAATAACTAATCAGGGAAACAACTTGAATCTAGAGTAATAAGTATGTAACAAAACTCCTATCCATAATCATTAAGCAATTTTCAGAGATAGTCAAATTTACCCTTATCCCAGTAACTAGAACTCCATAAATTAAAATTCACAATAACCCTTTGTTCAACCTTTACTTTGCCAAAATGATGTGGTCACCAATACCTAATGTTATAGTTTCACAATTTCTTGCTTCTAGTAGTTAAGAACACACAAGAACATTTCTTCTTCAATCTTTGTTTTTAGTGACAATCCTGTGTTTTTGTAAATTTCTATGCATTTGTAAAGCTTCATTATTGAAGACCGCACTTTTCTTTGTAAGCTCTAATTGGAAAAATTTGGAAGTATATGGATTATGCAGCTCAGTCCATTTGAAAAGCACAGAATCACCATTTGTAATACAAGAGCAAATTTTGGATAGTAATTCCTTTTTGCTTTCAAACAGAATCAAACAGAAGGATTGTTGTTTCTTTAAGGACTGGCAAAGATCTGGCAGGCATCTAAATAAGGAATAAGCTCCCTTGTAAGTCAAACTTCTTCAGGAAATATTGGCACATAACTTGCATAGGAAAGGTTCTGAACGAAAATTTATGCTACCAATTTGCAAGCCTAGTTATTATCATTAATTAGCATAGTTCTAGTTGTACCTGCATAACTTATTATAATTAACTTAATTATATTTTCTACTAACAAGAATTTGGAAATGCTTGCTAGAATTTTTCACTGAAATAACCATTGCAATGATAAACTTGTCACTAAACAAAGGAAAATACATGAGCTCCAGTCTATTTCCAATCTCCAATAAAAATGTTATTATGTTTCCTCCTATTGCCAAGGATTTCAAAAGAGAACACTATGGAATGCCTCTTTCAACCTGGCCAGTAAACACTCTTTAAAAATTCTAATAATTGTGCATCTCTCTCCCATAATGCTTTGAACTTGTTGTTTATTGAAGATTGTATTACATATACCTAGGCCATCTGTCACAATATTTTTGAAACCACGTCAAAGTATTTATTTGAGAATCCAAATTAAAATGTATACCAGTTAAGCATAAGCTGTTGATTTAGTTTAAATCAAATCAGTCAATTTTATTTGCATCCAGAAGGCCCATAAGTAACTTACAAACATAATCTAAATTTAAATATTTTACTTACTAAACTGTTTTATCCATTATCAAATTTAGATTATGTTTGTAAGTTGCTTTTAGGCCTCCTGGCCATAAATAAAATTGATTGATTTAGCTAAATGTACCTCTTTTTTCAGAATTCTGTACTTAGGAGTTCAAGGGTAAGTTGCACAGTACATTGCCAGAACTTCTAAACTTTCTCAACTTCCACTGAAATGGTTATCTGCTACGTTAACTTGATGACATTAACGTTTCCGTCCCAATTATGCATGTACATCTCACAATTTCAGTTCTTTTCTTTAAACTTTCAACAAAATCATAAACTGGTTGTATGTTTCTGTAATTTTCATAATGAAACTTGTATGATTTTGCATTAGTAATACAACAATTATGGTTTAAGCCCATACAGTGTTTCTCTCCCTGTTTAACAAATACTTGCAAATGTTATGCTGTTGTTTGTGTATTTGAAGGCATCTGTATCCAACAAAGTGTTAAAACTACAGTAAGTCTGAATCAGAAGGTTATAGTTTTAATAAGGAGTTAATCAAGATTTTAAACAATGAAAAGGAATTCTGATACAAACCATAAATGGCATTTCCAGATTACAGTAAAATAAATTATGTATAGGTTAAATATGATTATTACATCATTATAAAACATCTACATAGAAATAGGGCTTAGTTACCATAAACATTTTATCACTGATTTTTAATCTGAATTATTTTATTGTAATTCAGTTACATTAAGCCAGTGGTTCTCAACCTTTTTAATGCCACGACCCCCAACCGGTCGTAAGTTGAGGACTAAACCGGTCATAAGTCGAGGACTAAACCGGTCATAAGTCGAGAACTACCCAACCAGTCGTAAGTCAAGGACTTTCCCTGCCCGGGAGCGCCACGCATGCGTGATTACGCCCCCTGCGCCAGCCGAGGCGTAGCTGGCAAGCGGCAGAGACGGAGCAGGCCGACCACCAGCTGGCCCAGCCCAAGGGAGGTAAGGCACCCGCCGGAAAAGGGGAAAAAATGGCGGACAGCCTTGCTTGGCGACCCCCGTGAAATGGTCAATCGACCCCAAATGGGGTCGCGACCCATAGGTTGAGAACCGCTGCATTAAGCAGAGCTCAGCAACTAGTAAATGAGAATTGTACTACATAACCAAAGAAATGTTCAATTTTCATTTCCCAATCATGCTGTATGTTCTTTTTTAAAAAAAATAAGTGGAATTTTAATAACAGTTTGTAATCTATTGATTGCTGCTCTGAAAAAAATATATACAATTCCATTGGGCATTCTGAAAATCTTTGGATCCCACCATCAACACTAGACATGCAATACTGTAGTACAAATGTGCAAAAGGTTATAGGTGAAATGAGATAACTTTTAAGCTTAAAATGAGAAGTACACTAAATAGCCAGCACCATTCTTAGGAATCTGTTTCAGCATCACAGCATGGCTTCTTTTACCAGAAGATAAATGGTTCATTATTCCCTTCACTTACCTGTTTTAAATGAGTTATGGGCATCTCTCAACTTATGACGATGCAGTGACCATTCAGAATTACAATGGTGCTGAATAAAGGGTCTTATGACCTACACCCAAAATTATGGCCACTGCAGTGCCCCATGTTCACATGATCACAATTCAGGAACCCTTACAACCAACATCAGGGATGCTACAGCTGCCCCTACTTGCCTATCTTCCTCCCATCCACCCAACTGTTTCCCATGAGACTGCTTCCCATCTTGCTCCGTCCCACACCCCACCATGCCTTGCTCCACTTACCTCTACCAAAGATTGCCTTTCCCAAAGAAAAGTAGCTGATGCATCATGCAGCCTTCCTATATAAAAGTGGCTTGGTGCCATCTTGGAAACTGATGCAATTTTGGGAGTGGCCACAATTCGCATATCTCCAGAATTGTAGTCACTTCTAAAATGGCACCAGTTTCCGGTATGGCACATTCTGTACATTATGTGCACAATTATTAGGCAAGTGAGTATTTTGACCATGTCATTTTCATGCATAATTTCCATCTCCAATCTATAAACTTAAATGCTTAGTGGATATAAGCATATCAGGTGATATGTATTTGTGTAATATGGGAGGGTGTGGCCTAAGGAGATCGACAACCTATATCAAGGTGTGCATAATTTATTAGACAGCTTCTTTTCCTCAGGCAAAATGGGCCAAAAAAGAGATTTAATTGGCTTTCAAAAGTCAAAATTGTAAGTTTTTCAGAGGGATGCAGCACTCTTGAAATTGCTAAGATATTGGGGAATGATCACAGAACCATCAAACGTTTTGTTGCAAATAGTGAACAGGGTCGCAAGAAACGTGTTGGGGAAAAAAGATGCATATTAACTGCCAAAGATTTGAGAAGAATCAAACATGAAGCTACCAGGAACCCATTATCTTCCAGTGCTGTCATATTCCAGAACTGCACCCTACCTGGAGTGCCCAGGAGTACAAAGGTGTTCAATGCTTAGAGACATGGCCAAAGTAAGAAAGGCTGGCAGTACTGTAGGTTTGGGAGTTGATTCTGAGTCCATCTTCAACCCGAAAAGGTCCAACTACCTCATCATTAATACCAGCCCATACCAGTACCCCACCTCTACCTTGCTGGTGTCTGAGTCGAAGTGAGCTCTGTGCCCATTACTGATACAGCCACGGGCCCATCCATCTGGTCCGTCAAGAATCACTCTCATTCATAAAACCTTTGAAAAATCTGTCTTCCGATATTCCTTGGCCCAGTCTTACTGTTTCAATGTATGTGTCTTGTTCAGTGGTGGTCGGGTTTCAGCCTTCCCTACCTTGACCATGCCTCTGGCCATGCCTTCTGGGTACTCCAGGCAGGTTGCAGTTCTGAAATATGACAGCATTGGAGGATAATGGGTTCCTGGTAGCTTCATGTTTGATTCTTCTCAAATGTGCAGTTAATGTGCATCTTTTTTTCTCAACACGTTTCTTGTGACCCTGTTGACTAGTTGCAACAAAATGTTTGATGGTTCGGTGATCACGCCCCAATATCTTAACAACTTCAAGAATGCTGCATCCCTCTGACTTTTTACAATTTTTGACTTTTCAGTCAGTTAAATCTCTGTTT